GAGAGAGAGAGAGAGAGAGAGAGAGAGAGAGAGAGAGAGAGAGAGAGAGAGAGAGACGCGAGCATGCACAGACAGACGCCCACACACACACACAAACTGCCATGCTATCATTATATCGCTTACACAGCTGGCAGCGAGAGATTTAGCTCAAGCAAAGGAGCTAGCTGCCTAGTCAGGCTTCCATCCCTAAATCTCGTCCTGACTATTTTTCCTTATTCCTGGTATGGCGACCGGCTTAACYCTACCTAAGATGCTAGCAGCCATAACCGCCATAGTTTAACTAGAGTGAAGCTGGTTGCATCCCTGTTACAGTCTAGGGATGGCTTGATCCTTGGACTTCATGCTGAGTACCGTTCTTCATTCCTGCCATAGCTTAATCTGAAGTGAAGAAGCTATTGGTCATGGGTCATGCTATGTAGAAGAAGCATTAGACGTGTCTCTGAGTGGCACCGGCCTAGTGCTGGGCCTACTGGCCTCGAGAAGGTTTGACTTCTATGGGCAGTGAATTTCAGATCCATGGGGGGTGTGGAGGGAGAGTGAGGGGGATTCAAGTTCTTGCTGTGATTGCTACTTACTCCTGGGAATATCATAAAGTGTAAGGACTGCCCAAACACGGACTGAGAACACAGCTGATTTCTGAGTTTTGCTGCTAGAATGAATGCCATGCTGAGATTCCCGCTTTCTGCTGAGTTTTCTATGCTTGTGTGGTGCGTGTTTGCTCTGCGTGCCTGTCTGAGTGCTTGCGGCTTGAGTGTGTGTTTGACCAGCAAGGGTACTTGCTTGCTTGAAAGGTCCCGTAGGGCCGGTACTTAGCTGTGGCCGTGATATTGAGRGTTGCAGCAGGAAAAACACTCAAGTAGTGGGAGGAGGCCRGTGACACTCAGAGMACTGGGGAAAAACATTTCGGTAGCAGGTAGGCAAGTATGTGATGCGCAAACTCACACCCCGCGCCCCATGCCAACAGGCGCCGATCAGAGTAATTGGGGGCGTGGCCGAGGATTTTTGGCCGGGGTTTGAATCACGCGGATGGTTGAATCACCCAGATGGAATGGGGGATTCTCGCTCATCCCAAAATGGAGATACAAGGGAATACGAGGGGTTCATTAGGACCAGCGCGTGGGGTATAGTTCAAAATTTCCACTTGGCCGAAAGGGCTGAGAGCGCCGGGCGACTAGGTGGACGACTGACAACCCAAAAGAAAAAGGAAAAGGAGAAGGGAAGAGCAGAATTCACYGCTTCTCTCGCTCTAGGCTCACACTAACTCTATGGAAGGAACCCAGAGATATKGAGCATCTARGCTTCCAAGTCAGATTCATCGAGTCCGTGAGGTCGGCTAGGTGCCGCCTAACGTCGTCCGATTGGGATAAGATCGGGGGGACCCAGGTGCGGAAGCTTGCAGGGAGGGCGCCCACACTGCGARAGAGTTATTGGAACCTGGCCGCACCTTAGTACCCCAGAACCAGCCTCCGCCAGGAACACGAGTCTCCCTGCCGACACCAGCGACAATTGAACTGGGGCAGCCACGTGGCGTGGGCCGCTGACCAAGGCAGCACTGTGAAATCGGTGTATGGCAAGATCAGGGGAGGGAAGAAAAACGGATCAATCAGAACAAAGTTCAACAAACCCRCTCCCCCCTACAYRACARGCCTTAGATGAGTTGTAGAAGTGAACCCGGTCCGTTCACAACTGYGCGCTTTGCACGTCCRCATTGTMGTACACACTGTCTTCATCTGCGATTGGAAAGGGTGAAAGGACACTGTGGCAGATCGACGAGAGGGTTGAGCACGGGCAGTTATCCACGCTCACGTTTAAGGAGGTAAATCTCGACTCCATACAAATCTCAAAGGGATCTCATTCCACTCCCTCCTTGATCAAGTTGCAAGTTCAGGGACACAGAGTCGTYAGTCACAAACTTGTTATATGGCTGAGTAGCAGAGAGATCGGGCGACGCCTTAGGACGTATGCGAACTATGTCCCTGATTGTTGGCGGCCAGCTGGATGGAACACAGGACAAGCTGACATGTGGCACTTGCATGCGGGAGGGGAGAGGAAAGGAAGAGTCGACAAAGATCAGTGCACTCACACGTGGCACCGAGATCAGCAGGGATCGGGGAAGAGAGGGACTTCAACACACTCATGCATTCAAGCTGACGTTTGACACCCCCCTGGTCCCTCGAGTTGCGCCCACAGGCGCCTCACGCACATGACCTCATTCCCAATCCATACATCCATCTATCTTGGACAGTGAGACATTCAGCATCCATAGACCCTCATAACCAACGRCATGCATGCGACTGAGCATCCACACGAGGTATACTGCACACACCACACTTGGACAATGCTGCAATAGATTTTCAAAATTCCCACAGGGCTGGCCTCCCTCA